CACAAGGCGTTTGAAAAACAGCAGATATGGGTTACGCCAAGGGAACATACAATGTTGGGTATTGTTATTATGAAGGAATTGGCGTCGAGGCGGACGAGCGCAAAGTCTTTGAATACTAGAACTTTTTTAAGTTTTTTTATTACAAAAATTTTTAATAGAATTAATAAAATATTTTTAAAAAATATTTTTTAAAAGAGTGCTGTCGAGCAAAAACTTGGAAGCGAATCTTTATTACCGTAACGAACTTAGTCTTATAATGTATAATACGATAAGTTCGCTACAGTGATGAAATTCACTTCGGGTTTTCAATTATGTTTAAACTGATATAAAGAAAGTTTATTATAATAAAATTTTTTGTATGGTTGAGATATTCTTTTATTAAAAAAATCTCGTATACATTAAAATAATAAAATAAATGTTATAAAAATTAATTAAGCTCAAATATATATTCCTTTATCTTTTTATATACCCTTATATATACAAATATAAAAAATAGAAAATATGTGCTAGATAAATGTTCGTTCCTTTACCATAAACTACATTTTTCTACGGGATTCATTTTAGACCCGGATTTACATTTAAAAATCTCAGAAAATTTCTCCGAATTGCGTAAAACACCATTGACTCTCCAAGCTGGAGGGGAATGAGGATCAGTACGAACCTAATTTATTAAGAATTATATTGAATAAGTTTAGCAAAAAGCAGTAAAAATAAATAAATAAATAAAATTTTGTTTACCCTTTCAACAGCTGTTTCAGGCCTGGTTTTTGAACACCAAGAATGTCCATATGAAATAAAAAATATTTGCTCACGAGTTAAATTACCAAATCCAGGTAATAAAATGTTATTATATTCTTCGTCTGAATCCTTTTCGTATCGGGTATACCACGCCTGATAAGCTTCTCTTATTCTTAAATTTTAAATCAAATGTTTATTAAACGCTAATTATATAAAATTTAAATGATGTAATATAATTACCCTCCGTTATCGGCTAAATTTTCACCTAGAGTCAGATGGCCATTCAGATGTACTGGATTACCATTTGTATCGTTTATGGTATACTTTGAATATTGATCAACAAAACATTTGGCTTTTTCTTTGAAAGCTTTA